GTTGTCTGCAGAATATTGGCTAAATAAGGAAGGAACAGGTGCTATAAATTCATAGCTGATAAACTGCTAACATGAGAAAAACTCACGGTAAGTGATGAGTGTTCATCAAATACTTTCATTTAACTGGAGTTGTGTGCATTAAATTAATGTCACAAAGTCAGAAAGCAGCAAGCCAGATTGTCAGTATACTTCACAACACTGCTTTTCCTATATTAAAACCAACAATGCAAAACCGTTCTCATATCCTCCAAGCAAGCTGACATTCAGAGTGATGGTCCCAAAGGGAATTTCCATCACATGATCCTCATCCTCTTCACTGTCTCTCTCCGAGTCTTTTTCTCCTTATTCTGTATTCGAATGCAACAACAACACACCTGCACAGCCTGGGAGTTCTCCAAAATAAACTAGTCCATAGCCCAAGCACTAATTGGTTCTCTCAGATTGAAGGCAGAGCTGTGGCTCCTCTTTGCAGATAGTTATGAACAAGACAGGGTAATTGCTTCCCAACCAACAGCTCACTTTTCATAAATTTAAGAGGCTAACAAGCTACTGTGGCTCAAGCCCAGTTAAATGGCATAAAGGGGAAGGCTAAATTACAAGAAGCAAGAAGCAACTGTGTGTCCTAGAAATGTAATCTGCATGTGAATCCCTAGTGACAAATCCATTTTAAACCCAAGTAGGGCTGAGACTGCATGGGGATCTCCACATCATAGGAGTTAAAGAAGCATGCAGATTAGAGAAGAATACATTAAGTAGAGAAGAACTTTTAGTCTTAATTCATTAGGCAGTGAAATTTATTTTTGCCTGTAGCACATATCTCAAACGCACTATTTTCTTTATTCCCTAATTTAAAAAGGGACACTTCACCTCATTTCATAAGCTTGTGAATCGTTAGAAACCCAGTCCGATGATTTATCTCGAATTTGGTGCGTGCACCAACTATAGAAATACAGATTCATCATGTTGCACTTCCTGCTTCCAATGATGTAAAAAATCCGTACATTGTTGCATCACTGGAAGCAGGAAGCTCTCATATCTTTGGTACGCGGGGGGTGAGACTACAAACACTCTTTTCTCGGTCAAATAGGCACCAAATTCAAAATTTATGTTACATTTCGACTACATATATAACCCACTTTCAATAAAGATTAATGTTTCCACGGGTGAAATGCTTCTTTAAGGTGGTATTTTTAGCCATGCTAATGGCGTGTTTCTAGGGATGTTGATGCCAACGTTGTGAAAACGTGACGGTATTGTTTTCCTACATTAGGTACCGCCGGGTATTTCAATTCTTCCCGACCTGACAGGGGACCTCCTGTGACAATCGCACATGCTCTGCAGAGAAACACAAGAGACAGATAAGGGGGATATTTCATAAGCACAGACCAGGTAAAGCAAGAGTGAACAGCAGTGAATCAGCTGGAGCCAATGTCATTTGGTACCACGCTGGTTTTGCTCATTTTGATAGGGTACGTCATTAACAACGAGCCTCCTCCCAAGCGTGAGCTGTGTTTTTTTTTGG